GGACGATGCACTGGTTGGTAATATTATCCGAAAGACCAAAGCTTGCAAAGATGTGTCGTTTGTTGAAAGCTCAAATTTTTCAATTAAGCTTTTTCTTTAAAAATTTAATCCTTGTTGTTTGTTTCATTTCGTCATGGCCGCATGTGCATTAGACTGGTCCTCATTTTTTATATTTTTTTCATCGGGTCAACCTCCAGATTTGTGCCATTAGGTGAGAACACCACTCTCTTAAAATTTCAGCTCATTCCGATGTAACTCGAGCTGGCGCTTTTGATTTAAAGTTTATATGGGTCATTCCAGCTGAAGTGGGCACAGAATTAAAAAAAAATTGTAGTCGATGTCACCGATTTGAGCCAAAGTTGGCCAAAACGCTTATTTTGGCATTCTGAGCAAACACCTTTTTTATTTAGCTCTAAATTGCCTAGATTATTCTGGGCTACAAACCTTGATTTTCGAGATTTTTAAAAACTTCAACTTTCAGAAGAGATTACTTTGCAACCAAATAAGCTATCTGTGATCTTAAAACGTTAATTTGAAGGTTTTTTTAATGTAGATTCTTATAATTATTCAAACATTTTTGTTATAGTAACTACAGTATGCCACCGGCAGACTGATTACCGCAGGTATCCAAATTGTATAAAATGGCCTATTTTCACCATGGGCGGGATTTTTTATTTCTTAATACATATTTTGGGCTTTAATTTTCAGTACACTTAAGAAAACTCTTCTACTAGATGTGCTTCCAAGGATAAATGATTTGGACAAATAGTTTTTGAGATATGACCAGATGAGTGAGTGGTAGTTTTGAGCTTTTTTGGTGAAAAATCAATGTTATTTATTTTTTTTCTTGAATTCCTTCACGCTGATGGTACAATAATATTTTTATGTTATTTTTCACATGTTCTGGGCAGCATTCTCAATATATGAAATCGTAACTACCTCATTTATTTACTTCTGTCCATAATTTAATTGTGGTCCTAAAATTGAAAAATACGTTCCTATGGTATACAGCCAAAACGTGCTTTAGAAGTACGATAAAATCAGATAGATTAACAGGTATACAAAATTTCAGTTGTGGATGATAGCTACTACTTGAATAATACCCACTAGCGAACCAATCTACGAACAATATTCTTTCATTTCTCGCATCTACTTGCATCGTGCATTATCTTTTTGCAGGAAATCTTCAGAATCGTCATCAATCTTCTTTCTATCTACTCAGTGTGCGCTAACCATAACAAAACAAAGTATTTCCTGCATCGTAGATAGAGTTACTTTCCTCGACTTGTAAGCAATTTTATTGTTTTTCTTGAACCGTTACGAACAAGCTATACTACAGCGAGACTTTATCGTAGTATTCGTCGTAAGCGTTTTGTCTTTATTGTTGGTTGCTCTCTCGGTTTTGGTTTCCTGGTTATGAGTCTAGAACCGACCTGAAACGTGTCAAACATATCATGAGACACATAAAATCACATGAGCATTACATAACAAGTTCAATGCTAGTCATATTGAGTGTCCAGGAACTTATTGGTCTCATCTGGAAGTTCTAGGTACCCTCGAGAAAGTGACCAGCTTCTGACTTGAGTCAACATCCAGACTTGTTACGAGTGACGCCGCGAAAGTTATAAGTTTCTGACATTCATTTTGACTAAAAAATGTTTTATGAATTTATGGAATAATAAGATATTATGATGATATTTTGTATATGTAAGTAATAAGAAAAGATTGTAAAGTTTGTATTGCACACATCAAACCTGCAAATTTAGCTTTGACAGAGTCACAATGAACGTTTTTCTGATCGCCTCATCGCGAAGAGTGAAGAGCGAAGAGTGGGTGAGATAAATTACAAAATCGCTTATTGCGACTCTCATGTAGCAAAATTGGCAGGTATTTTGTGTCAAACACAAACTTAACAATCTTTTCTTGTTATTTACATAATCAAAATATTTTCATAATATCTTATTATTCCATAATTTCTTAAAACATTTTTTTAGTCAAAATGAATCGAAGGCACCCTGCATGCAACCATACCCATCAAAACATTCAATTACTTTAGAATCAATCAATAGGATCATAGGCGTTGAAGTTGCAGAGAATAATAATGTCTTTCTGGGGGAAAATAAACAAATAAAAAAGTTTTTTTTAAACTTATTTTATGTAAAAATAAGAACAGAATCTTAAAAACCCAAATATCTCAAGATGTTATTGCCCGATTTTTATTTTTTTTTTCAAAAATAAGCTTATAAAAAATGCAAACACTACAATGTTTAAAACCTGAAAACTTACTAAAATCGTAAACATGAGCTCTTGGTAAATTTGTAAAACTTTTGGTTAATTCGCATTTTTGTTAAATAAATAAAAACATTTGTTGATTATTTTTTCCAAGAAAGACATTATTTTTTCCTACAACTTTGTTTGAGAGTTTCTGGACGAAATTTAAAAGTTTGTATAGATGCCATTTGAAAAAAAAAACACCTTTCAAAGGCGCGCCCCTTTGTCAGTCAAAATTTGGATTCCTTAGCAACAAAATTAAGGTATGACACCGATAATGACCATGCATCAGAACCCTAGTCTTAACCACTTCAAACTAGGGAACAACGAATAGAAGATTGGGAATCACATAGATGAAGACTAACTAACTCATTTTTTCCAAGATCATCCTCGATGGACAAAGCCGAGTCTTGTCACTATCAACAAGGCATAAAAAGTAACAAGGACTAATCAACTTAGTGAATGTTTAAAAAAATCGAGGTTGAGAAATTAGCGCAGACGCAGAGTGAGGAAAAGGAAATTAGAATTGGGCCGTATTCTTGCTTATTTCATCAATACCGATTTTTCGAGAACAAATTAATGGAATCCTTCCTTTATTTTCAAGATGCTGGAAAAATGCTCATGATGGGTTTCAGGATCAGCAACTTTTTACATGCATCGCACAATACTCGGCAAAAAGAGTGTGGTTCTCCCATTTGCTTCGCACTCTTTTTTAACTTATGTATCTCTGAGAAGGCAATCCACACAAAGAGTGGTGGTAAAATTGACGCAGGGAACAAATGGAATACGGTGGCTGCACTTTGCGTTTTCGTTATTCCTGGGTGTGTGTCTTTCTTTTCTTCTCCGCTGCTTTACAATCACAAAGGGAGAAAGGTTAGCTAATTTTGAGTTTGACTTTATTAACCTTGTGGATTTCATTAAGTGATCGGATCTCAAGTAACAATTTTGGGTTTATAAGGGTTCTTGACCATGATTTAGACTCAAAGAATGCTTTAAAAGTTTAAATCTCACCCCCAGACAAGTCACGAATGACCCAAGAGCGATAAAGTGACTACAATAATACTAAAAAAATGTCACTATTGGTCACTTTTTACCCTTCTTACAAAGAAGGGTATAGATATCACTTGAAAAACCGACTATCGATCCGAGGCCCGAAGGGCCGAGTGTCATATACCACTCGACTCAGCTCGACGAGATCGGAACATGTCTGTGTGTGTGTGTGTGTGTGTGTGTGTGTGTGTGTGTGTGTGTGTGTGTGTGTGTGTGTGTGTGTGTGTGTGTGTGTGTGTGTGTACGTGTGTATGTGTGTATGTGTGTATGTGTGTGTGTATGTAACGAAATGAATGCGCTCACGTTTCTCAGCAACCGCTCAACCGATTTGGACAAACTCGGCGCCAAATGATAGGTCTTGGGGTCCCATTGAACGCTATTGAACCGGTTCTGGAGATATGGCCGGAATAAGATCCAGTGAATATGGGCCTTCACGCTGGATTTAACGGAAAACGTATCAAAACCATCATGCGACGCATCAAATTACTAAAGAATTCAAAAATAAGATCAATGCAAGTCGTGTTAAGAAGTTGCTTGAATATGAATTGAATTAAAACCCATTAAATCACATTAAAATACGATGATAAGGTGATTGGTAGCCTCATCAAATAGACTACACCCGGATATATTCCGGGTACCCCCAGGCAGTGGCGTAGCGTCACTGGATGACACGGGGGTGGGGGGCTTGGTCACTGATAATGACAATAAAATAAATAAACTTGAATAAGTAAGAAGGGTCTGATCACACCATAGGTGGATAAATTCGGGTTTTTTCTTTCAAAGTCACTATTTGGTCACTATTTTTGTTATTTTAGTCACTAAAGTCACTACTATTGTGTCACATACCCACTACCAGCCCTGCATTAGAATAGATTGTAAAATACCGGTATTTTACCCTGTGTAGTAAAAGCTACATGTTTAGTTCAGAAAATATCGCGAAAAATTCCAAAACTATGTTGTCCTATCCATAAAAGCATCAGGACAAATATATTTTTAACAGCGTTTTTCTCGGCTAGCTGTTTTTCCAGATGAAACTGATATGCTTTTAAGGGCAGTGACTTCTGCAATTTGTAAGAATGTTGTTCAAAAGATATGATACTGAAATTGCTCATACACGCTCAGCCATTTAAACCCTAAAACTACACACAAACCAATCGTTGATTTATTGTTATATACAATAATTAATAGAATCTAAATTGATTGATGAACGGAAAGTTAATTGAATATACACACTCTAAAATTATTGCCGACCTCGGTAATTTTTTACTAATTTACCTATTTTTTGAAAAAATAATAATTTCAAAACTCGTTCAATCTTATTCAAATAATCCAGTCCAATGTAGTTTTCGTTATGTCTGAATTTTACCGAATAGTTGAATTGTTAAAAGTCAAATGAAACATTACCGAAGTCAGTTATAATGTCTAGGTAGGTAGAAAATAATCCAATGGAGATGATTCGTATATGCTGCAAATTACTTATTATTGTACGAACAAGATGACATTTGTTACGAAAGGTGAAAAATTATTGCATATTCAAATACTTTCAATCATCGGTTCTTCATAAAATTATCTGATTTTTACCACTGACCGGTTTAATTAAAACACTTTTTCTTCTCATTTCCCTGTCTCTCTCTCATCTGTCGTCGGCTATATTACAACATCATGCCAACCGGATCTAGGTCAAATGGATGATGTATTGGATAGTTTTTGCGTTCTTCACCTGCATCGAAACGTTCACCGACATTCTGCTGTCGTGGTTCCCGTTCTACTATGAAATCAAAGTCATCATCGTACTTTGGCTACTCTCGCCGGCTACAAGGGGCAGTTCGACGCTCTATCGAAAATTTGTGCATCCGATGCTGACGCGACGAGAACAGGTGGGTGACCCGTTGCGATGTGGCGCATATATGCTGCCACCGTAGGTGTGTCTGATGTAGAATTGATTTACAACTTTTTAAATGCAAACTAAACAATTCGAAATCGATTCATCATCTGTTGACAAAGCTACAGCCGGTATAATTTTGAATAACATCACGTCACTTTTGAATGTTTTAGGAAATCGATGACTACATCAACCAAGCCAAAGAGAAAGGCTATACGGCTGTGCTGCAGTTAGGATCCAAGGGTGTAAACTATGCCACTAATGTTATCATGCAAACTGCAATCAAGGTAAGATTTAACAACCTACAAAAGTAAAGTTTTTGTCTGTTACTTATCTGAAAAAGCACTTCCATCATCATCCATAGCTTTTTTTACGATTATAATCTTGATTTAGCTAACCTCGCCTTCCGGTCTGCACGTTTTAACCATTTGCGATTAGTTTGTATTTAGTTTTATTTGTTTTGTTTCTATCCACCCAAAGCGCGGGCAAATCAGATAGCAACAGCAAAAATTATGCTTTGCAAACACAGGACAGCCAGCAATCAAAAACCACATTGGATTTTCTTCTTTCTTTTCTTTTTCGTTTCATTTATTCACCATAAAATAACATGAACTAAAACCAAATCAAAATTCAGGCTTTAAACGCACCACAAATGCCTAGCTTGATGCGCGTTAGTCAATCCGATAACGCACTAGCTTCAGCTTCACTAATGGAAGTCAACGCTGAGACGTCACAGGTAGATGGTCCAAGCTTGTTGGCAGAAACTTCCCGTGTTAGACGTTCCCGTTCGGCTGATTCCGCGCTAAACAAAGCTGCTTCGAAGCGTTCCCAAGCTAACACGCGTAATCATAGTATAATCTATGAGATTGATTCCGAGGAGGAGGAGCAAATGCTTGCCGAAGCACAAGCTGCCATAGATCAATATCATGCTAACGGTACTAACGGAGAGCTGAATTTCGATGACGAAAGTTCCGCTGAATTTGAGGAAGGTTCTGCTAGGTCTAGGGTGGTACAGACGAAGAAAACCAATGCATCCACTACTACTACTACTACCACTCGTAGTCGTAGAAAGACCCCGGTAACGAACGATCCGGTTGCGTCAAAAACAGTAAACACCCGCGGTCGTAAAAAACTCCGCAAGGACTCGGAATCGATGGACGTAGAAATAGATTAGAGTTTTTTTATTTCATACGATCGTTTACACCAATGAAGTGCTCAAGTTTATTTTTTAATAATCAACTTTATCAGAACTGATTAGCTTCGTTATGTATGTGTCATTTGAAAAAAAAAACAGCTCAATCAGTATCGTAGCTGTTCCTAAAAACGTGAGGTGTGTTGGTAACCTAAGTCGCATGTGATGTTTTTATTTAGAAAAATAACTGTTAAACTCACTATTTTCGATCATCTTCCAGCAAACCAAGGCTATCGAATTCTGATTCATACAATGCACATACACACCTCCAAGATCTCCTACGGTTCTGGCGATTGACATGTATTGGATTCGCATTTTAATTCTTTTCGTCTTAGAAGTTAACTAGATCAAGTAAAACAAATACCGAAACAATTAGAATTACCTCGTCCACATGTGACAGAAAATCGTGACAACACAATCTAGAATAGTTTTTTATAGAGATTAAGAATAGGTCTAATTGTCGAACTGTACTAAAAATGCGACAAGACTTTTAGATGTAGAGCAATGCGCACGGATTGTCCGTTTTTTGGGTTTCATTTCCTGAGCATATAGAGTGCTTGCGTAACACAGAATATAATATAGAAAATAACATGCGCACTAATAATTGAAGCACATTTCACAATCGTTTTAAATCTCCTTAGAATCCGAATTGGAAACGTTAATTTGAAAATAAAAAAAACTGTTTTACACCAACTTAACACCTTCTTTTGTTTATGTTCTTCATCACGGATCACAAGCTTAAGTTCTCCTAAATACTGTTCCTTTTTTGTATAGCTTACGGTTCTTTGTTTTTTATTTAAGGTTTTAGAATCTAGTAATAGGTGCCAACGGTTGTATGGAAATTTTGCATAAGGCCGTTAGGATTAATAGCCGTTTGGCATAATGGTCGATTGCCATAACGGTCGGCATAAAATTTCGGATTGAACAAACCAGTGAAGGTTTTTCTTTCTTTTAAACATAAGCAGTTCTTTCAATTTTTACTGTTTTTGATTTTGTGAGCCATACGACCATTATGACAAACAATTTTAAGTCAAACGAACCGGGAATACCGGGAAATATCCGGGAATCTGAAAAGTAACCGGGAAAACCGGGAATTCGATGAGAGAACCGGGAAAAATAAATAAATCGCACCATAGGAATAAATTTCAGAATAAACCATTAAAACAGAGTGATTTTTTTACCAAATGAATGTCTTTCTCTATAAACCTGCTATTCCAGCAGACTTATTTCTGACAGACAAGGAATCAACTTTGACAGATGCTTTCTCGAAAATCGGCCGTTCAACAACAGAGGGATTTTCGAACATCATAATTTGTTTTCGAAGTGTCAAATTTAAGTGAAAATTTTCCAAATGGAACACAGCCTAAGAAATTGTTTGGAATCCGTCTTAGAATCCCCTTGAACCTATTCGGAGACTTTGATTTCATTGAAATCCTTTTCAAAATTTTCTTTTAACTCTAGCATAATTTGGAATTATTTAGAAACCCCTTGGAGTATTTTAAAGAATTTATTTCTCATTATTAGCATTTTTTTCAATGAATTTTGTTGGAGCTCTGTGATGGTTCATTTACACTAGGGTTGAAATTATCGCCAGAACTCTCTTAGAACTCTGTTTCTTGTTGAATTCTCATCATAATTCTCTTGAGATTCTTCAAAAATTACCTTATAATTTAATTTAGAACTTCCAATCTTCTCCACAGAAATCCCTCCAATTCTTCTAACAATTTCTAAGGACTTCATGTCAGAATAATTCTGGAGTTCTGCTCAGAACTTCTGCTTCGAAAACTATGTGGAATCCTCCTCAAATGTTTTTTTTTTAAATCAACACTTTGAAGACTTTTATATTTTACTGAAAATTTCAGGGTTTGTCCTTAAGATTCTATCGAATGTTCTGTAATTCGTTTTAACTCTTAAAATACTTCCAAGTCTCAGAGCCTTTACAATTATGACTGCATTTGATATTTTTTTTTCAAATCTGTGATCTTGGAAATTTTTTAAACTCTCACATTTTCTCCAAATCTTGCATCAAAAAGATTGTTATTAATCCCAAATTTTGAAGAAAAGTTATATTTTCAGACCCTACACAAATTCCAAAGCCCCAGAATCTTGGGAATCTATCTTTTTAGTAAATAATCTTTCAGGGAATACACATCTTCTTTATCCGATATCACTATCAATTTGCTCTAATTCTTATTTGTACCAAGTTCATTTTTCTGAAACATTTTTTTAATTAAATGTCTTATTCTTCACAATTCACCTATTATATAACCTATTCATCCAGATAACATTTAGCCAGTGATCGTAATCTCTGTCACTCAATAAATTCTAGGTCTTGAATCATAAGATGTATCGATCATAAAAAGTAGTAGAATTCGATTTATCAAAATAGGAGAATTTACGTATTCTCGGCAATCAAAGCAGCTTACGGTCTTCTATTAGCATTTCCTCAGTGTCACGCACACATATGACGTGTTTGTTTGTTTACATTTATCTGCTGCTAGATACTCTATTCATTTCAATCGACAGAACTGTTTCAAACGGTTTGAAAACGTTTTTAAGGCGCTCCAAACTTCTCAGGTGAGTGTGACTATTGTCGGCAGCCTCTTTTACTTCGGCAACCTTTCCGTTTAAACTGTGTGTTAACCAGTTGTTCTATTATCGGCAACTAGAAATCAGCCGCATTTTCATGTGCTTATGTTTCATTTGAAGAAACACCTGACATAACAGGTTTTATCAGTCGTGAAAATGTATTAGGATTGAACCTGAAAGACTAAGAAATCGTTTAAATACATTCAGCGAAGTGTTTTAGTGAGAAAATACAGCGAAATTAACGTTTAAATTGTGGTTGCCGAAAATAGTCTATGGCTGCCGAAGCCATCATTTACCCTATCTCGAAAGATCAATAAATCGTTTTGAATACATTTAGTGACTTATAGAGTTGAGTTTTTCCTATATCTTTAGAAAACACTGGCTTTCATTTTTCCCACAAATAACCACTGAAAATTTACAATTGGCCACGTTTTAAAAAATGCGTACAATTTCGTTTTTTGTTGAATGTCAACAACCGGGAATTTCAAAATGAACAGTCACTGGCCACCCTGACTTTTGTCAAACGACTTTTAAATTAGCTAAATTAGCCCATACATGACACAATCGGTGTCTATTGCCTCAGTAGATCAGCGTTTCTCAATCTATGGGTCGTGGCTGCACTCGGATGGGTCACAGAAATTCATACATCTTTGGATGAAAATTTTGTGCAAATTTATCAAAAACTGAAATTATGCTGGGATAATTCAAATCGAGCTAGGTATAATAACAACAATATATTGGTTGTAATTTTCTTTGCCCAGTTTTGAATGAAAATGGCATTTTGACTAATTTGGGCTTTTTATCTTTTAATTTTGAGGACTATTTTAACGCTTCAAGATAGATGAGCTTTGTCATTTTCTAGATTATTATAACGACAGCGCCCGTCGGTGGTTGAGTGGTGAACGTAGCGACACCGGTGGTGTAGTAGTAAGCGTCAGAGATGCACAATATCATGACACTCACTCGACACTAGTCAACGCATCAACCGACTATCGCTGACAGAACATTTTGTCAAGCAGTGAGAGGTAGAGCCATGGCAAACAACAATCACCAGTAATGGTCGCTGTTCACAGGCAAAACGTAACACTCGCTGCTGATGATGTAAAGCATAACGAAAACAGTGCAGACTTCTGCAGTACGATGATGAGAAAATTGAAAACGACAGAAGAAAATCAAAACAATGCCTACGCATTCCAAGTTCGACTCGGTACGCGTGACTGTATGAGTTACAAACAAAGCTGGCAAAATTAAACGGAAGCTGTTGGGCTCACTCACCAACACACTCACATAAGCAAGCAAAGCAGCAACTGCTTCAAAAGAGGCACAAATGAGTGTCGTGATTGTCGGGAATGACCAGATCGGTGATGGATGGTCATGGAGAGTGCTTCGTCAAGCACATTGATAGGAATGTACTAAACGTTACTTCCATCAGCTGTTTGACGATCGTGATTGTGATAGGTCGCCACTCTGGTAAGTGTGATTGCCTCTCACTTCAAAGGGCCTGGG